ACTCGTTTACAGCAAATCCCACGTCATTTCCTACTGATATTAATGACTATGAGATTCATTCTTGCTTATCTTCAGAACATAACTCACGAAAGGACATTATTCATGCATGTACAACTTTGTAATGTACTTGAATATTTATTAGGGAATCTTGACTATGCAGATGCATTTCATGACTACATTTATATTTCCAAACAAATGATTTATCGTATCATGGATTCTAGACAAGTCTACAAACGAGTGGAATCACAAGTGCTGTGATTTTTGAGTTTACTTAGCTTTAAGATCGAACTCATGGGATAAGATACAACATCAATATGTACAATATCATGCTGCTTTTGTAGACACGTCACCATAATATTATACATATTGATGTTGTATCTTATCCCATGAGTTCGATCTTAAAACTAAGTAAACTAAAAAATCATAGCACTTGTGATTCCACTCGTTTGTAGACTTGTCTAGAACCCATGATATGATAAATCATTTGATTGGAAATGTAAATGTAGTTATGAAATACGCCTGCTTAGTTAAGATTCCCCTAATAAATATTCAAGTACATTACAAAGTTGCACATGCATGAATAATGTCCTTTCGTAGGTTATGTTTTGAAGAGAAGCAAAAATGAATCTCATAAAGTTATTAATATCAGTAGGAGATGACATGGGATTTGCTGTAAATGAGTAAAGGGAAAATGAATCAGGAGGGTAACCAACTGTTGCATTTATTCTCATTTGGTCCCTTTACTTTTTTTTTTGTACTCAATATACCATCGAACTTGTTGTTTGTGTTCACCATAACCCTTTGACCGGCTATCACAGGTCAAAAGTCGGTCAAAAGGGTTATGGTGAACACAAACAACAAGTTTAATGGTATATTGAATACAAAAAAAGGAAAGGGGTCAAATGAGTACAAATGCAAAAGTTAATTACCCTCAAGAGTCATTTTCCCCATAAATTTTTATCACGTACAATGTCATGTGCGGTTTGGTGTGTCACGTAATTTTGTATATATTTATAAAAATAGAATTATAGGTTAATTTTATATGGATTTAAGGTAGCTATATATGACATATAATTAATAATATTAACAAAAGTTAAACTTAAATTAAAAGTATTAGAAAATTCCATTTTAAAAAGTTTACCTTATACATGATTTTTTTTTGTTTTGAACTCAAACAAAAGCTTCAACATAATAAGATACTTTAATACATATCCGTTGAAAATAATTTTTTATACGCATATATATATATATCTGTGTGTGTGTGTGTGAAATATCAATCATCAATTTAAGGACGACATCTTGAACATTTTAAAGGGAAAATGACTCTTGAGGGTAATTAACTTTTGCGTTTGTACTTATTTTGTCCCTTTTTTTGTATTCAATATACCATTGAACTTGTTGTTTGTGTTCACCATAACCCTTTTGACCGACTTTTGACTTGTGATTGCCGGTCAAAGGGTAATGGTGAACACAAACAACAAGTTCGATGGTATATTGAGTACAAAAAAAGGAAAGGTACCAAATGAGAACAAACTCAACAGTTGGTTACCATCCTGATTCATTTTCCCTTACTCATTTACAGCAAATCCCACGTCAACTCCTACTGATATTAATGACTTTATGAGATTCATTATTGCTTCTATTTAAAACATAACCCACGGAAAAGCACTATTCATACATGTACAACTTTGTAATGCATTTGAATATTTATTAGGGGGATCTTGACTAAGCAGAAGCATTTCATGACTGCATTTACATTTCCAATCGAATGATTTATCGTATCATGGATTATAGACAAGTCTACAAACGAGTGGAATCACAAGTGTTGTGATTTTTGAGTTTACTTAGCTTTAAGATCGAATTCATGGGATGAGATACAACATCAATATGTACGATATCATGCTGCTTTTGCAGACACATCACCATAATATACCTTGACGTAAACGTTTTTGCTGATAAATATACCTTTCATACACAATCATATCCTTTTGAAGAGAGGTGTTGACAGCTAACCACAGTAAGCATATCATAGGCCATGGATTCTAGATAAGTCTACAAACGAGTGGAATCACAAGTGTTGTGATTTTTGAGTTTACTTAGCTTTAAGATCGAATTCATGGGATGAGATACAACATCAATATGTACAATATCATGCTTCTTTTGCAGACACAACACCATAATATACCTTGAGGTAAACGTTTTTGCTGATAAATATACCTTTCATACACAATCATATCCTTTTGAAGGGAGGTGTTGACAGCTAACCACAATAAGCATAGCATAGGCCATGTTTTAACGAAGTTACCCCTCTGAAACACTCTTCATATACGTTATAGTCAAAGAAGGTTGAAGTCTTTGATAATTTTACAACTTTAATTTCATTTAACTTTTCGAGGAAAATAACTCAGGATGGTAACCAACTGTTGAGTTTGTTATCATTTGGTCCCTTTCCTTTTTTTTTTGTACTCAATATACCATCAAACTTGTTGTTTATGTTCACCATAACCCTTCGACCGACTATCATAGGTCAAAAGCCGGTCAAAAGGATTATGGTGAACACAAACAACAAGTTCAATGGTATATTGAATATGAAAAAAAGAAAATGGACCAAATGAATACAAACGCAAAAGTTAATTACCCTCAAGAGTCATTTTCCCCATTTGAAATAGCCCAAATTTCCTAATTTAGTCCATCGCTTTTGTCCTTTTCTCACCTAATTAGTTTTAATTAGGTCAAATAATGAAAACTTTGTTTGACCCTTCACAATTTTATGGCCAATTAGACATCACCCCAAAACCACCCATCTGGTTCTTCTTTATTCAATCCTTTTCTCCTTTCTCTTTTTCATTTCTTCTCACCACCATTAATATACTTTTATATACCCACAACCTATCCTCTATTGAAGAACATCGAAAATATAGATGCGCCGGTGAATACATGATTTTCAAAACAAAATAAAGACTAAGTCCAGTACCTGATCAGAAGAATTTTTTTAGTAATAAATTAATATTAAATAATCATGTAACGTAATGTTTTAAAACAACCACAAAAGTACAATGGTATAATTGCGAATGTTAGCAAGAGATCTTTGCTTTGTGATAACTTTATTAATTGATTCAAAATCCACAAAAAAGAAACTAAAAACATTTCCCAGAAAATTAAGAAAAATTTTTTAACTTCTATTTCCCTTAAGAATGTAATTTTCTGTTGAAAATCACATAAGGCAGTCTTTTTTTGGGCCTAGAGTATGTCTTGTAATAGAAAGGGTACTAATTTCATATATTTACATGTTTGAAATTTTTTTAAAGTAGAATGCTATATTTGATAGAAATTAAAACTGTAAAGTACATTGCTATATTAGGGTAGAGAAAAAATGGAAAAAAAAATCCATTTTATTTAAACATAAAGTATAAACAATAGAAAAAAAACAATATTTTATTTTACTTAAATGGAACATATAGAGCATTACAATTTACCCTTTTATTTAAAGAGAATATATACAAAGCATGAAAAATTACAGTTTTACCCTTTGAGAGGTTACCCTTGTGATTGTTATAAAGTACAACGGTAGGAAAAGATTGTTTTTGAAGCTACATTGCTATATTTATAGTTTATTTTTGTAGAAAAGTATTTCACCAATAAAAGACTGCATAGTAGTTTAAGAAATATGTCAGCAATATGATTTATTTATTAAAATATGATTTTTAGGTGTTTCTAGTACGTATAGTTGAAATACAACATTTCATAACATGAAATGGTTACACGCATTACGTAAAATTACAATTTCAGAATGATTAACAACTAATACTTTACATAAATTCAAACAGGAAGAAGAATCATTAGATGATTACGCATGCACAAACAACTAACAATGGTATAAATCGAAACAGATCATTGTTAGTGTTGATTGATGATGTATTAACCTAATTTTCTTTGATGTATCTTCTGCAGAAATCCTGATTATTGACGATGTGAAAGCAATTTTTTCTGAATTTTAATGAAGGAGTCATGGTTTTCTTATGAAGTTTAAATGAAGAATTAGCTATATAATAGGTAGTTTTAGGTATTTACCATGATAAAATCCCATATTTTATGGCCCAGATTTTATGGGATAAATTAGAAACCGACATATTTAATTGCAATTTTGTATTGGTATAAAAAACATATCGAAAATAAATTAGGATATGGTTATTTTTTTCAAAATTTGAAAAACAATTGATTTACTTGTGAGGTGTTGGACGTTTTTTATGAATAATAGCTTGGAATTATGACATGTGGCAAATCAACATCTTAGAATATGACAAGTGGCATAGTAAGGTTTTGTTTATTACAGAAGGTAGATTATTAAAATAAATAAATAAGTATTAGATTTAAAATAAATGAAAGAAAAAGAGAAAATAAATACGCCAAGATTATTACAGTCATTTGAATATTCAGAGACACTAAATATTCAACGAAACGAGTTCAAAATGACCACCGATCTAAAAAAAACAATTGAAATTTAGATCAAAATTGAAAAAAATAAAAAAATAAAAAATAAAAAATACATATCGTAGAGACCACGATGTAGTCTTGTCATTTCATATGTATATTAAGATTTAGAAAATCTCACAAATGATAATTAACATTTCTCTTTAATGGACGTTATATATAATGACTATTTGCATGCCAATTTTTGTCGAAAAGATCACTAATACAAAAAGAGTTCCAAAAAAAAACCGTTTAAAAGGAATATTTTAAACCCAAAAAAAAATCCTTCATGATATTTGTCTAAATATAATCCCGTTTTAAGATTTGTTGATGAAAGTAGCCGCATTTTATTAGAGCTATAAATATTAATCACTCTTTTAAATATCTTAAATACATATTTCCTTAGTCTATGACCAAGTAGCTTTTCATCTTTATTGGTATAAAAAACAGAGAAAAAACTATAGATATTTTATATATCCGGTATTAGTATATCACGTGTCAACTCCATTAATCTTTTCATCTTTCCTTTTTCATAATAAAGCAGAAGTAATATCTCCATTAGCCACCTCAGATTCAAGCAAATGTGACATATCTGGCTGCTCGCTATCTTCTTCATATCTATCGACACTATGAAGAAAGATACCTGTAAAAAACAAACATACCACATCAAAAGAAAAAGTCGATCTTCATTTCATTTGTACAAAAAGATGAAAATGCTCTTACCTATAAACCATATTCCGGCTGCCAAAAACAATATTGACGTTGAGATCAAAATAGATGTCCTCCAGTTATCAACTTTGTCCTGTGTCACACATAAAATAATCGTTGATTAATTCAAAATGAAGAATAATAAATAAATAGGTAATTTTCAAACCTGTAGGATTCCAAAAAGTGGGGGGAGGGCACGTCACCAAAGATGTGAATTGACACAGTAGATATTGCCATTGCTAATGGTCGTAAACTTGGTTTAACAGAATTGAGACACACAAGATTCACCGGACCCTGTTATTATTTTTTTATTTGTGTTTTTATCAGAATCTAAAGAATATTACTGTGATACATGCATGATACATGATAATATTCCAATGGCTAAACGCAAGAAATTGCAATATATTTTTTTTATTACAACATTGTACTTTTAACTTTTTCTTCTTAAAGCGTTGTATTTTGAAAAATCCACCTAATCAAGGGATTGTGTTTTCAATATCTTTTTTTCATAATAGAACATTATACTTTGATAAACAACCTTCCAATCTCCTAGATTCTTTGAATGTTAGTTCTAGTATTAGGAGCCATGTTGATTGCTCTGATACCACTTTGCTATCATCTCCCTAAATCAACAAGTGTAATCACGAATTGAATTGAAAAAACAAGAACATATTGATATTCAAATGTTTGTTAATGATTGAAAGTATAAGTCTAGCTGTTCGAGAAGCCAAGGATCTCCTACAAGAGAATAACTCTCAAATAACCGAAACGATAACCCACAACTATCATGCTCCAACTTTGAAAACAAAACTTGTATTACTAAATTACTTAATAACCCTTTAACTCAGGAGCTTATTCTTTAGGCATCTTTCTTGTTTTACCCCTTCATTTATAAGTGAACTGCAACGGTGGCTTAAAAATATAGCAATAAATTTTTTTTTTTTTTTTCTATGGATGATCTTACTATAAATAGTTGTTTTTCAAAGTACAATGTAGCAAAAGGAAGAAATGAAAATGGGATGCTATAAGAAACAAATGAATGAAAGTACATTATTATTACTTGCATTGAACACTAATTCAAATACGTAACAAGTTAATTTCAATTTACCTGACTGGCATCAACAAGAATCTCCCCAATTAAAATGAGAACCAAGAAAACGTATATGTTGCTGAAACAAAAGGCACTAAAGCAAAATATTGCTCCAAAAAATATTGCTATGGAAAGTAACTGCAAAAGGTATATATATATATATATATATATATATATATATATATATATATATATATATATATATATATATATCAATCAACCAATATAAACCACAAATTTTCCTTCGTATGTTTCTTGGGTGGGACAAAATTTGTCTTAGTCTCAAAACACAGGACAACATATTTTGTTATGACATGTTATGTACTTGAAATATTATTAACAGTAAATTACATGAATCATCCCTCATACATGTACCAAATGACATGTTTAGCTTATATTTTCAAAAATTAACTTGGATCGTCCCTAATATGTTTAAAAGTTGTGTGCTTCATCCTTAATATCGTTAGTCGTTTATTTTTCCAATAAGTGACCGAAACGTCTAAGGCATTTTAATCTTTTAACTTTAAAAGAAAGACAATAAAAAAAAATAAAAAAATAACCCTAACTCTATTGACTCTCTCATCTCCCACGTTAGACCACATGGTATGTATGGGAAACATCTTTCATTTTTTGAGTGTCACATTACCTTTCACTTAATCTCCTTTCCCTGAAAGCTCACTCTCTTTTCCCTCACCAACAAAGATAGGAAATTGTCACTTTTCACTACCTTTCACTTTTATTTTTATTTTTAAATAAAAATAATTGATTTTTAAGATTTATATTTAAAAAAGTAAATATAATTTTTTTAAATGATTAACAAACACAAAAATTAATTAAACTAAAAATACTTCATCAATTAAAATAAAAAATACATAAAAACAAAGTAAGAATAAAAAAACCTAGAAAACAA